AAAATGTAGTCCTCATTGCCCTTGAGTTGTACATATGCATAGAATTCATTTATGTTAACTGAGCTAGGAGTATTTGATAGTTGAACTAACTGAAAAAATTAGGTTAGAAATTGGGGGTGATAAAATTATCCCTGGTTTCTTAGAGTTAGATCAAGTTTTTTATATGGTTAGAACCGTGTGATGATGAGCTATAACTTTCATGTTGCAAGTTTTTGTTTTTAAGCACAAGTGCAGGAGTTATCAGTTTGAACCATGGCGCGCGTTTTGCTTCTGTCTCAAGGACAGGGATGAAGGAACCTTGGGCTGGGCTTGGTTGTTCTCACTATTGACACTCCCCCTGCTTACTCTTTGCACCCCCTTGGCCCATTTGCTTATTTTTGTATTTTTTTTATTTCTTTTACATTTCTGACTTTTTATTTATTTTTCTAAATATTTAAAATCACAAAAAATATTCTCTTAATTTTTCACATTTTATTTTATTACTTTTATTATTTTTTGGACATAGAAATAGTTTATTAAATAATATATACTTTTATTTTCTTAAAATAAATTTATAAATAATACAAAAATATCATATATTTTTATTTTTATTATTTATACACTTAAATAATATTTTCTCACACATTTTTATTTTTTAACACTTTTGTATATATTTTTATTTATTTTCTTGTACATAAATAAATAATAATATATATATTTTCTTAAAACCAAAACTAGGGTTTCCATCCTTTTCAAATTTAATCATTTTTTTTTATTTTTTCTTATTTTTATACATAAATAAATTTATTTTTACATACATAAAAATAAATACAAAAACATTTTGCATATTTATATTTATTTGCATATTTAAATAATTGTCCATTTATTTATTTGTGCAATATTTCAATTTGGTTGTAATAATAGTTTTAGGGTTTATTTTTTGAGCAATATCCCCCTTTATTCAAACTTGTACCCCTCTCTCATAATCATGTTGTAATAGTCTTAGATTTATTTTTACGCATTTTATCGCTTTGATATGCATGATAGTAAAAATTAGGGTTTGTATAATAACCAAAAATCAAACAAATAGCATGACTAAACACAAGACAAAAATGCATGAAAATGACAACACAATGCACACAAGCACCCCTAGGGTTTCAACCACTTGTTGCCTTAAAAATGGCCATGGTATGCATGTTAGGTATCTTGGCAAAACAAAACAAAAACAAAAGATCATAGTCCCTCGATGACGCTATCTTGGTTGCCTGTACAAAAATGATCTAGACCCTCAAAAACTTGCTAAGATACTTGGCAACATTGTTATCATGGTCATACGATGACCCACGCCCGTCCCGTTTAACATCCAAAGACAAGGTTGTTTACCAAATACAATGGTAAAACAACAATGTCAAAGGGTTAAAAATGTGTAAGAAAGATCTTTGAGTAGGGTAGACAACTCCTAGTTACTTGATCAAGCTTGCAAACCATCCTTGCTATTTTCAAAAACACACAACACAATTTCAAAACATTTCCCAAAACAAACTTCCAAACATTGAAACATTTTTCAAAAGATAAACACCTTTGTATACATTCAAACAAGAATCATTACAAAGGTTGCCTAGACAAAGGCCTCTTTTCAAAATACTTTCAAAACCACACAAAAGCACCATTTCAAACAATTGAAAAGTAAAAGCAAGTGATCTAAAACAAGTAACTAAGAGCTCATGGAAAACCATGGATGAAAAGGGTGCTAGCACCTTCCCTTTTCATAATCTACCCCCGAACCCAAAAACAATCTCAAAGATCTTTCCTGTGCTTTTTGACCTTTCCTTTGGATAAAATAAAAAGTCGGTGGCGACTCTTGCTAAACCGAAATATTTGCGAACACAAATGCAAAACCTCAAGTCAGTTCTCCCACCACATCACAGATATCGCTAGGATAAATTTGAGAAAACTTAAACTGAAACCTTAAGTATGAGGAAGAAAGATCATTTGTAATCGTAAGGCTAAAGGATAATAATAGGTTTGAGTTTGAGTTGGATGTTGGTTAAGTGATGTTTGAGTTGTAACATAATGCAGCTTAGTTAGATTTGTAAACTATAAACCGTAAACTGAATCGAACCGCACAATTTTGTTAAGAAATAACCCAAACACATCCGAACCAAATACAGTTTTTGCGGTTTCAGTTTGATTTGGTTCAGTTAGAGATTTTCTATTCGGTCTGTTCAGTTTTAAACACCCCTAGGAGTGTATGACTCCCTGAAGTACAAGCTGCTATCTTGAATTTTCAGAGACGCCTCCTTGTGATGATATATGGGTTTACCCCGTGCCTTAATCGCCAGCTATTAGGAGTTTGTAAAGAAACTTTTGCACTAGTTCCCCACCAGTCTTCATGAGAAAATATCCACCACAACCTGCTCAACATACGATAGGGTCCATTAGAGCCGATGTGGGACTACCTCTCATAGTTTAACAAAACAACCATCAGGGTCGTCCCATAAAACTAAGAAATGTTTGTGATGACGTTCCAAAATGGACTCAAGACGAGACATTTTAACGAATCTCCCGCCCAAAAGTAAGCACCTTCGTTGGCAAAAATGGTCACCAGAGTAGAATGTTACATAAAGGGCGAGGAGATCAACGCCATAAATAAGACGCGTGATGTTAAGGAGAAGGTTCCTAATGCGAGGATTCACACCACCATATGAAGAGTAATTATACCTCTCCCATAAAAGACAAGATTGTGTTCAAGAGGTTAAGCAAGACGACTGAGAATTTCACGTCCCTGAACACTCGTCGTGAGCAGATCTTATGCAATGTTCTTCACCTATAAAACATCCTTACACCACCCGCTCCAAAGGGAGAATGTAATGGGTCATGAACCAAAAAGATGATGCAAGTTCCATAAATAAAAGACACACTACACCAAAGATTGTTATCAACCCAAGAAGGAAATTGAGAAACTAATTCAGGAGGGATGCCTCAAGAAATACGTCAAGGGCGACTTTTTCCATGGGTTGGACAAGTCCAACTCGCGAGAGCGAGATGACATGGGAAACCTCGGGTCAAACAAATCTAAGGATACACCCCACAGTGAGAGCAGTAAAGTTGTGTTTCACACGCTCAACACCATAGAAGTAGGATTCGACAGGGGCGATGAGACAAGCTCTTCCCATATAAGGTATCCTGAATATATAAGACCTCCCCGACATCAAAAGCAAGGGTGAGGCGTAAGCGTTAGAAGCCACAATCTCATTCTTTGAGAAAGATGTAGTTGACATCCACCATCATAATGATGATCCTATGGTCCTTACTGTCAAATGTGATGAATGAGAGATCAAAAGAGTCCTTGTAGACCAAGAAAGTTATGTAGACATTATGTATTGGGATGTGTTTGAATGACTTCTCCTTGATCCAGATGACCTAAAACACTTCAAGGGTTTGTTGGTTGAAATTTTTTTTGGGAATAAATACAAAAAAATTATACATCACCTACGAGACCACTTTTAGAGAGCAAGATTAAACCAAAGAAATAAAGGTCACATATTAAGTTATTGACTAAATGTCCATGCTCTTAACTCTTCCATCAAAAGTTATTGCTTAAAAACTTGAGACATTTTCTTTTGTTAGAGAGAGAAATATTTTATTCATTCCACTTTTTCTATTATTAATTTAAAAATAAAATAATTTCTAAAAATAAGTTAAAAAAAGTGAATTAGTTTTTTTTACAGAAAAAAGGTGAATTAATTATTTCTTTTTTTTTTTTGTTAAATGTAAATTTCTTCAGCACCTTTCATCAAAAGTTTTATTTAAAAACGTGAGAATTTTTCTTTTGTTAGTAGAAGAAAGATTTTGTTCTGGATTGGGCCTGTGGTTGGTCCACCGTCGGGCACGGCCCAATCCAGCTATATGTCGAAGATGACCCAAAACGCTTACCCAATTCATTGAGGCCAGTGGATAGCATATTTCTCATGTGCTCCTCACCCAAGGACACGTCACCAACTGAATCTGTTCATCTCGGGGGAGTGGAGGAACAATTATGTCATTTGTAACGGAAAAGTCCACCCACCCCCATAGATCGCGAAGCAGTTGACCCAGGACGATGACCATGTGCTGGTCATCCTTACTTTCGCGTAGGAGTTGTGGGCTTGAACATTCGTCCACTACAGAAACTATTGACCCAACGCTGGTGGCACACTATAAAACTCTCATATGTCGGAGAGTCAAGTATTCACTTCTTAACCTTTTATCACTACCTCTTCACTCGACTGATTTAAGCATCAGAGTGTTTGCAGGTATACTTCTCATCTCCGTTGATCGTTGTCTTGCTAGCCACTCATCTGTTCTGATCACAAGTAAGATCAGATTTTATAAATAAATAATTTAATATATTTAAATAATTAAAAATTATCAAAAATGGATTGAATAAATAATTTAATGCTTTTGGCAAAGGATTAAATTATTAAAATAAAATATTAAAATGAATAAAGAGGTTTTAATGGTAAATTTGTGTTGAAGAAATGATAGGATTATAATATAGTATGATATGATATAATGATGATTAATATTTATAAAATAATAATTTGTCAAAAAAGTTATTTAAAATATTGGATTTTTTTTTTGAAGAAATTAAGAATTAAAGAAAAAAAAGTTGTAAAATAAAAGGAATTAAAGAAGAAAAAAAAACCTTATTGACAAATGACAACCAACTACACCCGATGGCTGATATGATATGTAAGTGGTGGCCCACGATAGCGACTTCCTTCTCGTCAAATTAAAAAAGAAATCTCTGTTTTAATTTATTTATTATTTTCAATATTTTTTAAGAAACCTGAAAAAAAAAAAAAACTCAAAACGATTAAAATTAACATAACATTTAAAAAAAAAATTCCAACGCGAACGTGAATCGTTCAAGTTCCAGGGATCTTGTGCAAAACCAAAAAGTCTTCCATTTTTTCTTCCACCAACCAACAAAAACAATGGAAAACATTTCAAATGAATAACCTTCAAATTCCCCAACCATGGAGTCCGAACTCCAAGACGTAAATTCCAAACCACCAAAACAACCCGACCCGGTTCTCGACGACAGTCCTCTCCTCAAACCGATTACAATCTTCGCCTCCGACACCGACGAACTCGAGAACAAATTCGCCGCGTACGTCCGACGCGATGTTTACGGAACAATGGGACGCGGCGAGTTACCGACGAAGGAGAAGGTGTTGTTGGGGGTTGCATTGGTGACGCTTGTTCCGGTGAGAATGGTTGTGGCGATGGCCTTGTTGTTGTTGTATTATTTGATTTGTAGGGTTTGTACGTTGTATTCTGTTCCGAATCGGGAGGATGAACAGGAGGATTTTGCGCATTTAGTTGGATGGAGAAGGATCGTTATTGTTCAGTGTGGGAAAGCGCTTTCTAGGATCATGCTTTTTGTTTTAGGGTTTTATTGGATTACGCAATCGTGTCGCGTTGAAAACCCTACCTCCAATGAGGTACTTTTCTTCCAAACCTGATGATAATCATCTAACTTGCTTTGAATTCCAAAACTGCTATTCTGGCTTTAACAATTGCTTTGGAACCAACTTGATTATACTCCTTCCGATTTAAAATGAGTGTCGTTTTAGAGAAAAAAATTTATTTCAAAATGAACGTCATTCTCAATTTTCAATATAATAATGATAGCTATTTTTTCAATTGTGTCATATAATTATTACTCTGTACAATACTTCCAATAAATTAATAAAACTAATTTAGTAAAAGTGCATGTCTCATGACAATATGATTGAATTCCTTAATCTGTGTTCAAAAATCTTAAACGACACTCATTTTGAAACGGATAGAGTAATATATTATGCTTAAACTTGGTTCTATGATGGAGAAAATTGATTTTGATTAAAAGCTAAATTAAGATCAAACTATTTACATTAGAATAAAAGCTGGGTGAAAATGAGTTGCATAATAAATTTGATTGAAAAAGGTCTAGTTTGGAGACAAAAATTATAAATCCTAACTTCAGACTTGAATTAACTTTACATGCAAAATCAATTCTAAATATAATATTTTTAATTATAGAATCAATATTGTATAGAAATAGCAGACAAACGTACAATAAGTTGCGTCACTATCCCTTTTTGGATGACCAAATCAATCCTCTTACATTCATAGTCCTAGAAGACACAATATTGTTCTGCATGAGTTTTTGCATTATCCAGAAAAGATCCCTAGTTTCTCTAGTTCTAGAAAATCAAAAGTGTCAAAGGCAAAAAGTATGAAAGCATGTTAATTGTCGCAACACGCTTTCTCATGCTTGGCCTCTTTACTTGAAGCGGCTTTAAGAACTGCGTGTGCCACAAGTGGATTCAAACATGCACTTATAGTTTCTTGTTCACTACATAGCCACACCATGGAAAGCAATTGTTTATGTACCATTGGAAATGTAACTATATGATGAAGACCTTTTGTGTGTTTGTGTTTTTTGAATTTATTTACTTTCCCTTTATTTGATTTGTTGTACATATTGTGCGCCAAAGTACTTTTTGAGAAACTCTGCCGCATCATTTTGGTCCTCTTTCTTGAAGGAGCAAAGGGGAGGTTTTTGAGCACCTAATTTGATAGATAGATTATAGATATATTACTTGGTTTGTTACTGCCTCAGATATTTAATTTCTGCATGAAAAGTTTTCTTTGTTGGTATTTGGTTTTACTTTTGCTTATTTTATTTCTTCTCTCCTTTTCAATGTAAGAAGGAAAGCAAAAGCCAGCCTGAAGAGACAGGAAGACCCGGTGTAATAATATCTAATCATGTATCATACGTGGACATTTTGTATCACGTGTCTAAATCATTCCCAAGTTTTGTTGCTAAGGTTTGTGTTGTTGTGACATGTCATTCCCATATTATGGCATGTTTTATTTTTTAGCTTTAGTTATTTACTGACGCTTTTCCTTCATCTGCTGTGCTTCATTTCAATCTTGGATCTCATCGATGAAGAGATCAGTGGCTAAGCTTCCTCTAATTGGTCTCATCAGGTCTGTTTTCCTATGTTTTATCTGTTTAAGTAAGAATTGTATTATAAGCAGGATTGTTCAGAATATATTGCTTACATATTATGGCTTGTTTTGTCACAGTAAGTGTCTTGGTTGTATCTACGTTCAGCGGGAGTCCAAGACATCAGACTTCAAGGGTGTTTCAGGTGCATAGATTATTGGTGTGTGTGCACTTTGTAATCATTTTGCATATATGTGCAATTGAAATGTAGATTTTTTGTCCCTATTCCCCTTCTCTTTGGTGTTCTCCTCACTCTTTAGGCTAATTGGGGTGTAGTCAAGATCGAGTGTTGGAGCGTAAGATCATAATATCGTGCTACGACTTCCAAAGCGTGCTACAATCACAGCTAGTTCGTTTTCGTCGCCGGCATGGTCAAAATCGTAAAAAAGAAGTGCTGGATATTTTTGTTGGACCTGTCTAACTGGGTTGGGTTTTTATTAAAAATCCTGGTTTACGTTAAGTGGAAAACCAGTGCTTCATCTAACCCTAAACCACAATTTTCTCAAACACAAAAGCTGCCTCTTTTGAGCTTAGTCTTTTGAAGATGATGGTTATGTTGTTTGAATGCTTTAGACGATGTTTTTGAACTTATTAAGTTATGGAATGATGGTTATGAATTATTAATTAAATTGGTTGAATGTTATGATTTATAGGTTACTTTGTCTATGTATTATAATTCTACAATCCTAGTTTTACGATCTTTCATCAGCCGGCCGATCCTACTTAAAATCTCGTGTTGCACGGGAGTTTTTCATCTTGGATTTTGAATTGTTGAAGACAATGGATTGAAGAATGTTATTCTGGGTTATCTTGGATTGAAACATCCGTTAACCTATCTTATATTACCCAATGGGCTCACTCATGTTATTGGGCTGATTTTTGTTTCCTTTGGAAGTTAGAGTTCTTACCGAATGTGGAAAAGATAGATTGAGTAAAGAGAGAGAGAGAGTAGAGAGGGTTAAGGGTCATTCTGGGCAGTTAGAGATTGGTTTTTATGCGAGAGACCTCTAGATATGTATGTCGTGAGATAACAGCAGCTTGTATACATCCTTTGTATCCTGGATTCATCACTGACCTGGGGTTTAGGGAAATTTCATCTACAAAATCATACTTATCTTTTTATTCCTTCCTTAATATCTGAACCAGTATCTTTCCCTTCCCTAAGCTGCTTGTCATTTGTAGCGGTGTTAGTTGCCCACAAATCATGCACATTCACGTGTATTAGCAAGTCACACTAGGATCATAACACTTTGTTTATTTGTGAATATTTTTCTGTTTTGCAACTTGAGTTGAGATTTGATATCTTGACCAATATTTTTTGAAGATATATAGATGTATAAAATGTCTGATAAAACTAAACTATGACCTTGATTCCTACAGCCGTTGTCACCGAAAGAATTCGAGAAGCTCATCGAAATTCATCTGCTCCAATGATGATGTTATTTCCAGGTTATCATCATTCAATTTTTTTACTTTTTATGGGATCTCGAATAAAATTGTCATATTCATTTCGTTCTTAATATATTACTCCTTTGCATGATTTTATTTTCGTTTCGTATTGTAAAATTCGATGATAGTGTTTTTCAACATTTGAATTTCTTATAGATAATATGGTAATGAATCACATTAGTAATTTATTCATATATGAAGAAGACATGTCACGTATAAATTATAGTATGACACAGGACTCAAATTATCCCATGTAGGGATACAATAAATTTCAAAATCCGTAGTACACAAACAACTCTAATGCCACACATAAATTTTTTATAAAATTAATGTTATATCGATGGGAGTAATATATTAAAGTTAGAATGAGTGATTGCTGTCATTTGTCTAGTAAATGTGATATTCACAATCTGTATTTAGAAAATAGAAGTAAAAATATAATAGTTTATCATTAGACATTATTTATGATAGGCAGTCATAGAATTGTATGATCTTTGAATCCAATCCTATCTATTTTGGAAACACTTCTATTATTGTGTCTTTAACATAATCTCTCCTTTATAGCTTCAATCATTGCATTTTACGTCATACCTTAACTCTTAAATATTGTGTCTTTAACATTGTCCTTTTGTATATTGAAGTTGGTAATAAGTATCTGTCAGTAATTTATCATAAGTGAGCTACTGAACAATCTTAATTTTTCATGCATATTTTTGCTCTTCTAATCATGTAATTTGATAAGGTTGAATGTTTTACAGAAGGTACAACCACAAATGGAGAATATCTCCTTCCATTCAAGAGTGGTGGTTTTTTGGCACATGCACCAGTACTTCCTGTAATTTTAAATTACCGTTACCAGAGATTTAGCCCTGCCTGGGATTCCATATCTGGGGTAAGTAATTTGTAAAGTATTGGAGTTTCCTATTTTCATTAAGTGTGTGTTTGGTTTTGCAAGGGTGAAAGTTAATTATAAATAAATTTTGTAAAGTTACTTTCGGTTATTTGTAGATTGAATGCAAAAGGTTTTTGTATGAATATCTCTTGTAAAAGTGAATTAAACAATAAATTTGAGGCTAAAAATCATGTTCGGAGGCAAAAACTCCAAACTCAGCATCATGTTAGAGTCTATTCTGGAGCTTTTGCTTCTAAAATACCTTAACATGTCAAATGCAATTTTATGCTTCTAAAATAACTTTTCTCTCATAAAAGTGAATTTAAACATGTTATAAATGGTGTTAAAGAACTATTTTATTACCAAATATCTCAGCCGATCCTTCTCTGATTCGTATCATAAGTCTAGACTCTAGAGTTGTACCTCATGTGAAAAGTTACCTACACCCTAAACCCTTTTCTTATTAAATTTGACCTCACATTAAGAAATTGTAAATGAACAAGTGGATGCACTTACATTTGGGTTTCATGTGAGGGTGTGAATGGTCAGTGCAGATCATGAGTCTGTTTGAGAACAGCTTATGTGCTTCAAAAAGTATGACATGCTAACCTAACGGTGTTGAAGATTTGAATTGTTGTTTTCAAACACTTATGTTTTAGCTTATAAATGATCTTTTGTCCGTTCTTTTGATAGTTTGGTTTTAAGTCTTATCCCTTAACAACTTTTTTCGTTGTTGAAAAGCTAATAATATATACATGTTTTGTTGCAGCTGCGTCATGTGATTTTTCTTTTCTGTCAGTTTGTAAATTATATGGAGGTGACAGAGTTACCTATGTACTCTCCCTCACAAGAGGAGAAGGATAATCCCAAACTATATGCAAATAATGTTAGAAGGTTGATGTCTACTGAGGTATGTAAATTCCCTTTAATTATTAATATGTATTGTGAGACCTTAAAACTAAACTCTAAGAGCTTTTAACTACATGTAGTTTAGGCAGCATATGTATGTTTTCATATTCTACTTACTGATGGAATCAGTCTTGGTGTACTAGAGTTTGTGTGTCTGAGAAGAACTTGGATTTTAAAGAAATCTTGGAGATTAACTAGTTTTTGTCTTATTGATTTTGCATTCATAGTTTTGAAAATCTGAAATAGTATGTGACGGATTGATCCTTATTTTCTCTTGTTTGAAACCTATATAGTAACATTCCTGTAGTAAGGTGCTTGTCTCCATGTTATGTATTCACTGTTTGTGTTGCCGTTGGTTTTCTTATTAAACAAGCGTGATACTGTTTCCATGATTTGCTTGCAGGGTAATTTGATACTTTCAGATATTGGGCTAGCTGAGAAACGAATATATCACTCTGCTCTTAATGGTAATAGATTATATATATTTTTTACAAATCTCATTAACCCGATTAAAAGTTTCTAGCCCAGATATTATAAATTGTTTCCATCAATCTGTAACTTTCCAATCATTTGTTAACAGTTGAGCAATGTTGTTAAAAGGTTTCTTGTTTAAAGACTTTTTCAGACTTATTGATAAAAATTCCTAGGTTTATAGTGAAAGAAATTTGCTAACCGTAGAACCATATAAAATCACTGTGAACACTTGAGATGAATATCATAACTCATTTTAGAAGGCCATGTCCACGAAACTTGAATCTGAAACAATTTTTTACATGTTCCTGCAGGTTTGTTTTCCCAATGCTAATTTGGCTTTGTGCCCTGCGTATTCACTGTATGTTCCATTATGTCCAGAAAGAAAGTTAACATAGAAAATCATGTGTTGAGCAAGATTCATATTTGAATTGTATCTGATCATGGATCATTCTCTTGGAGCGACTGTGCCCTTCAGCAGAGAACTTCTGGTAACTAGTTTTTGGCTGATCCTTTCAAGTGTGAGGTGATTTACTGTATAATTACTGATTCTGATGGAGATTTAGTCTCCAAGTTTTTAACCTAGTAATCTTGACAAGGGCTGAAGTTTTATATAATGTATGGTAGGAATTTAAATATTCAGGAGGGCGCAGAGAAGCAAGTAAATATGTAAAATATTTGATTTGATTTTATGAATTAGTTTTACAGTAAATATAAATTATATAACCTCTTAAGAATCATTTCTTCAATATCCATAAGCATATTTTGACTATAAATGGTTTTGAAAATGTATGAATAGATTGTACTTCTGTTCTGAACGCTAAAAAGTAAATGAATCACCCAACTGTATTGCTAAGGGTATTTATAGGCATGGTGACTTGATCCAAGAGTCATTGTTAAGATCGGTTATGATACATGTGAATTCGGCCACGTGGCCCCAGGCTCTGACTTGATCATGGGAGTGAATGGGTTAGTCATCCCTAACAATAGGAGTTGTGGTTAACCCATGAGAGTTGAGATCTTTCGGTTATTATCCTAACTGTTAGGGACCAAGTGAACGAAGATAGGCCAGATATGGAAATAACCAATCATATTGGGCCTAAGAGTGCTAAAATCTAAGAGGTTTATTCTAGAAGGAAAAGAGGATCTCACACCACGTGAGGTGGTAGAGAGAGAATATTGGTCCTAGCCAACACCGTTAGACTGTATCCATAAATGGTGTGGGAAGGGAATGAGGATCTTACCTTAGATAATCATAGAGTAATCATTGGATGGAGGGCTTTGTGGCAGTTAAATCATTGAATCTTCTGTAAAATTCTCTTGCAATCCTACAATAAACATTCATTATTTTCCATTAGTTTTTATTCTTTGCCTCAATTCTATTTTGTTTTACTAACACATAGTTTGACTCGTTCTCCCATGATTTACGACGAAAGAGTATCGAGTCGGATTAGATGACGTGCTCGCTACCTAACTCAGTCCTTTTGCACTCGAGTACCCTCTATTCTATTTATAAGTTAGAGAGTTGATGGATCAAGGCCTTTGGGCTTGAACGAAGTTATTCCAACCCATGGTCCATCAAGCATGAGACACGTAGAACAATGTGGTTTGAAGTAGAACATTTTGTTCAACAGTTTTTCAATTACGAGGTCTATAAGGACAATGTGTGGCTTATAGTAAGACATTTTACTCCACAATCCCTTAAGCAAGTGGTTTGCAAGAGCGATGTGAGTCGTTAGTGTATTTGCATGCTTGCAATAAGGATCATTGATGTTTTATCCTTGGAATGATGTCTTGGACTGTTGATGTTTTATCTTTGAAATATGGTTTGAACGTTCATTAATGTTTTGTCCTTGTAATGATGTCTTGGACCGTTGATGTTTTATCTTTGAAATATGGTTTGAAACCTTTCGGTGATAAATTTTTTTTTTTGTAAACCGTGTCATCACTCTGGTTTGCCTCCCACTTTTCAAAATTTTATGATAATTACCGAACTGCTGCCGCCATCTGCCGTTACAAATTTCGGCGACCTTCCGGCAAATTAACCCTACCGACAAAAGTGTCTCCTTTGATCCAGCCGATTCTGGCGATTTTTTAACACCACCGCACTCGCCACCGTGCAACTTTTCCAAATTCGATTCTCATGGCTACTCCTCAAAATATTACGCCAAACTACGATGATTTCCTCAAATGGTATCAAAATTATCAGAATTCAGATTTTACTGCTTCAGTTGCACACATTGGTTATTCATCTATTTGCTTCTCTCAATCATCTTCTATTGGACCTTGGGTCCTTGATTCTGGTGCGTCTGATCATGTTACTGGTAATAAAAATATTTTCTCTTCCCTCTTTACCTTTGGTTTCTTACCTACAATAACTTCTGCCAATGGTTTTCAAGCCCGATCCGAAGGAATTGGTACTGTTCAAGTTCTACCTTCTCTCTCTGTTACTTATGTTCTCTATGTACTTAATTGTTCATTTAGTTTACATCCAGTCAGTCGTTTAAGTCGCTCTCTTGATTGTATTGTCACATTCACTAATAATAATGTCATCCTGCAGAATCGAAGTTCGGGACGAACGATTGGCCAATTATGAGTCTCAAGGCCTTTATTACCTCTCAGTGTCATCTCAGACATGCTCAGCCAAAGATTCTCCACTCACAATTCATGCTCAGTTAGGTCATCCTAGTCTTTCCAAATTACAGAAGTTGGTTCCAAGTTTATCGAAAGTATCTAATTTACATTGTGAGTCATGTCAGTTAGGGAAACACACTCGTAGTCAATGTTCCAATCGAGTCAATAAATGAGCTTTGTCCCCTTTTGCTTTAGTTCACTCTGATGTTTGGAGTCCCTCACGTACTATCTCTACTCTTGAGTCTAGGTATTTTGTCACTTTTATTAATGATTTTCACGTTGCACATGGTTATTTTTAATGAAAAATAGATCAGAATTATTTTTTATTTTTGAAATCTTTTATAAAGAAATAAAAACTCAGTTTGGTGTGTCTATTCGTACTTCAAGAAGTGATAATACTCGTGAATGTTTATTTCAACAATTTCAAACTTTTATGTTCAGTAATGGTACTCTCCACCAAACATCTTGTCCTCATACACCTCAACAAAATGGAGTAGCCGAACGTAAAAATCGGCATCTTGTAGAAACCACTCGGACCCTACTTCTCCATGGTAATGTTCCACTTCGATTTTGGGGAGACGTTGTGCTAACGATATGTTACCTTATAAATCGCATGCCATCACCCGTCCTTAACAATAAAATCTTTCATTCGATCCTTTTTCTCCATTCCCCCATTCACCCAATTCCTCCCCAAGTCTTCTTGTCTACATGTTTTGTACACAATCTCTCTCCTGGTCTTGATAAACTATCAGTTCGATCACTAAAATGTGTTTTTCTTAGTTATCATCGATCCCAAAAAGGTTATCGTTGTTATTCACATACCCTACAACGATACCTCATGTCAGCCGATGTTACCTTCTTCGAGTCAGTTCCATATTTCAAGTCCGGCCAAGTAACTCTGAAACCCTTTCAGAAGAGTACTCTCGCACCTCTTCCGAAAATCCCATATGTCATTATCCCCTATCATTCTAAGGAGTTTGTCCCACTAGATAACCCTACGGTTAACCCCCCCCCCCCCAACTTCTCGTCCACTGCAAACATATCAGCGTCGTCAACCAACGTCTGTCGTACCTGTCCCTGAGGTCGCACCTGTCCATGAAGTCGTACCTGCCCCTGAGGTTGTACATGTCCCTGAGGTCGTTGCAGACTCTCCTCTGACGCTCTCGCCATCACTGGATCCGATCCTGCAACCTGATTTCGATCTTTCGGTTGCCCTTAAAAAAGGTATACGTCAAACACGAAATTCTTCTCCACATTATATTGATTTATGTTATCATCGTCTTTCCCCTTTGTAGTATACTTGTTTGTCTTCTTTGTCTTCTGTTTCTATTCCTAACACTCCAGATGAAGCATTATCTCACGCTTAGTGGAGGCAAGCAATGATTGATGAAATGTGTGCTCTTCAAAGCAGTGGTACTTGGGAATTAGTTCCTCTACCCCCTGAGAAGTCTTTAGTAGGTTGTCGTTGGCTTTATACAGTGAAAGTTGGTCCAGATGGTAAGGTCGATTTAAGGCTCGCTTGATAGTCAAAGGATACACTCAGATTTTTGGATTGGATTATAGTGATACCTTCTCGCCTGTAGCCAAGATGACATCTGTTAGACTTGTTCTAGCCATTGCAGTCATTCGACATTGGCCTCTTCATCAACTTGACATCAAAAATGAATTTTTACATGGTGATCTTGAAGAGGAAGTATATATGGAGCAACCACCTGGATTTATTGCTCAAGGGGAGTAATCGAATATGGTTTGTAGGTTACACATGTCTCTTTATGGTCTTAAACAATCTCTGAGAGCTTGGTTTGACAGATTCAGCACTGTAGTACAACAATTTGGTATGGTCCGTAGTGAAGCTGACTATTCTGTCTTTTATCGTCACTCAGTCCAAGGGTGTATTTATCTTATTGTGTATGTAGATGATATTGTCATAACTGGTAGTGATGAGGGAATACTCCAGTTGAAACAACATCTCTCGAATCAATTTTAGACAAAAGATCTTGGTAAACTCCGATATTTCTTGGGTATTGAGGTAGCCCAATTTAAAGATGGTTTGGTGATTTCTCAGCTGAAATATGCAATAGATATTTTGAAAGAAACATGTTTGTTGAACACTAAACTAACTGATACTCCTATGGATCCAAGTGTCAAACTACTATCCAATCAAGGGGAGTCTCTATCAGACTCGGGAAGGTATAAAAGATTGGTTGGAAAGTTGAATTATCTCACAGTCACTCGTCCAGACATTTCTTTTGCAGTCAGTGTGGTAAGTTAGTTCCTAAGTTCTCCTTGTCAGAAATAAATGGATGATGTTATCCGGATTCTGAGATACATCAAATATGCTCCAGGAAAAGGTTTAGTGTATGAAGATAAATGACATACTCAGATAGTTGAATACTCTGATGCTGATTGAGCAGGATCACCAATTGGTAGACAATCCACCTCTGGGTATTGTGTACTTGTTGGGGGAAACCTTATATCTTAGAAAAGTAAGAAACAAAATGTAGTTGCAAGATCAAGCGTCGAGACAGAGTATAAAGCCATGGCGATGACAACATGTGAACTTGTTTGGTTAAAACAGTTGCTCAAGGAACTTAAAATTGAAGAAGCACCAATGACACTTATTTGTGATAATCAAGTTGCATTGCACATTACTTTAAATCCAGTCTTCCATGAGCAAACCAAACATATTGAGATTAACTG